GACCGCGCCTCCGCCCCGGCACTACGCGGCGACCTCCGGCGGGGCCCGCAGCCGCGCTCGCAGCCGCGTCTCTCCCTGACTTCCAGCCCTCCCCACGCGCCACGCCGCTGCGAAGGAAACACAGGACGCGGAGACGACTCCTGGGCACCCAGGTCCCCTTACCTCGACCATGACGCCGCCGCGCGGTCCAGCCCTCGGGCAGCCGAGAAGCACTAACCGCGGCGCATAACCCGCCGGCCGCCACCGCTGTGAAGCTACTTCCGGAATCAGGGCCCGGGCGCCGGATGTGACGCAAGCGCGGCGCACGCGCGCTGGCCGCCCGAGGCTGCGGGGGCCGTGGGCGGGGCTTCTTCCTGCTCCTGGCGCCTCCGGGCGGAGGCTCGGGGAGCACAGCCCCGGCGGCCCCTTGGCTCCGCTCCGGGCGGCCCTCGGCGCTCTCCGCTCCACCCTCAGCCTTCCCTCTCGTGACGTGCGAGCTCGGCAGTGCTGCGCGGGATGCTCGGCGCGCGGTCAGCCTGTGGGCACCGCGGGGTCGGTACCCGAGCGCTGCCCCGTGTTAGCGCCCCGGCTGTCCCGCTGCAGCCCGTGAGCACTTCGTCCTTTCAGTCTGAGAAACGGGGACGCGGGGGTGAGCAGAAGGATCGGTTTGATAGGTCGTGTGCGCCGTGGTAAAATAGCTTCACCAGCAGGGGGTGCTGTGACATTTGCTGTGAGGCGAGGTTGCCAGCTTAGGCTGTGCTGTATTCCTGTGTCGCGGGATTGTGGTCCCCAGCTCTGATCAGCCCCGTGTAGACGTCTGTACGGACACGCTTCGTCAGACCTACGGGCGATGCGATCCCGCAGGTTGCCCCGAGCACCGCGGGGCCCTCGGCGGCCCCGGGAGAGGCGTTTCACCCAGTGCACTGATGAACAAAACACCTACTTACGGGACAGCCTGCCCCGCTCCCGTACCGCGAAATCGAAATAAGTAAAATTATCCCCTCTCATTTGGTGATAGCTCCGAAGCACAACGCCGTGGCCGCCTTCCTTGCCCACATCCTAGAATTTTTATCTCCCTTTGCTGAGGGTGTGCGGTTTGCTGAGGCCCCACCCATTCCAGGTGAGCAGGAGCAGCCCTTTAGACCTCCACAGAGCACAGCAGAAGCAGGGACCGGTGGCTCCTGCAAAGTTTTCCTACTGTTCTGGCTTTTTGAGACTAGTCCGGATTATTTTACGCATGCCATTTAAACAGGGTTGTTTAAAATACTATCTAATTCTGCTTTTCTTTTCCAAAAATTAAATATATGTAACATCCGCTCAAAAGAGTCACAGTGAAGCCGGGCAGGGTGGCACACACCTGTAATCCCAGCACTCTGGAAGGCTGAAGCAAGAGATCACAAGTTCAGACCCACCCTGGGCAATTTGGAGACTTTGATAATAAAAAAAAATTTTGAAAAGGTCTGTTCTAGCAAGAGGAATGCAGTCAGGTGCACTGTGATAGCTGTTAATGATTGAATAAACTCAAGTCCACGACAGCAACAAATATATATCTTCTAAAGCCAGGTGGTAGTCTCAACAGCTTTGGCTTGATGGGAAGATAAATACAATGAACGAAGTTCTAAGATTCGTTCCCAGCCTTCAATAGTGTATACTGTAGTGTAAATTTTTGGCTTACATAAGTTTATTTCCACTTTGAAGACTTTTTTCATCCAAAGTACATGAAAACATGCTTTCAATAGCCAGTGTCTCCTGTCTCTACAACATGTCCATAGGGAGGAATCTTTACCCAAATATTAATGAGTGAAGTGACAAAAATAGAAAAATTTTAAAAAGCCGATAATGCTATAAGGGCAATCAATGACATAATGGTACTTGGCATTGTTAGAATGTCTCTGTTAAGTTTGTGAAAGATCGGACTCAGGGGAAACAGCCGATTTATTGAAATAAACTTAAAACAATTAGATTCATTGTTACTCAAAACATTTATATGGAGATGAGGAGCTCAGGGAAAGTGTTGACAGTGCTGGGCTGTGGCTATGAGTGGATTCAGGGTTAAAATCCTCCTGAAATTTGTTTTAGGTCTCCAATTCACGTCATGAGGGTGTGATAACAGTCTGACCAGGCACTTCCTACTTTGAATTAAATAGCTATCTCTGGAGAAAGAATCTTTTGAGCTTCTTTGCTGATCAAGATTTCCTGTTGAAGCTTTGAGAAAACTGTTTCTGTTTTCAGTGTTTTAAATTTCCTAAATCTTACGCACCAGTCGATGTTGGCCAATGTAAGCCTCATAAATATTACAATAAGATCCACTATTAGTTTGTGGAATATGTTACTGTGTGGAATACCTGAAATTAGTGCATTGAATTGTTAGAGAATGGTACGTTGGTGTTTCTAGAAAGCCGGGTAGGAATGGGGAATCTATTTTTATGTTATGAATCTGGAGCTTAGAACCTGTGCTATCTACACAGATCAAGATCAGTACTTATTTCTCTTTTGAGTCTTTCTGTTTTGTTTTGCCAACAGGCAAGATGAGAAAAGAGTCTCAAAGTGCAAATAAGGAAGCATGTTTTTGTATAATCCTAAACACTTGGTCATCTGTGCTATTAAAGGCTGAGAATGATTTTGAGAGCTTAGTTTATTGTACTTCCAGTCAAGCCACGATTACTGAGCCTGCCATATAGTATAGAAGATACATGTGTTATCTTTCGGAACTTGAGGTTACTAAATCATTAACAGCTATGAAGATAGAAAAGACCATATATTTTTGGAGGTTAGTTCTTTTTTTTGTTTGTTTGTTTGGTTTTTTTCCTGTACTGGGAATCGAACTTGCAGCCTTGCTCTTGCCAGTCAGGCGCTGTGCCGCTGAGCTAAATCCCCAGCCCCTGGAGGTTAGTTTTTTATGTAAGGAATTTGTGGATTTTCTTGTTCCACCCATCTGATGAAAACAATAACGCACAAACATATTAAAGGGTTGTACAGAATAAATAATTTTACTGGGATTTGATATTGTTGACAGTGAAGCTGAATTTAAAACGCTGTTTCATCAGCTGGAGAAAATAGACAAATGAAGAACATAAAAGCAGGCATGGTGGTGCACACCTGTGATGCCAGCACTTTGAGAACCTGAGGCAGGAAGATAGCAAGTTCAAGATCAGCCTGGGCAATTCGGTGACCTAGCAAGACCCTGTCTCAAAGTTTCAAAAGGGCTGGAGATACAGCTCACTGCAGAGGCACTGGGTCAATCCTCAGTACTCAAAAGAGGAAAAAAAAAGAAGTCACAATGACTGTCCCTCTCTGTCCACAATCTCTGTCCCTCCTGATGCTAATCGGGGACACCCTCCACCTTTGCTATAACTGCTTCACATACTGTGCTGTGTGATCACCTTGCTGCCATGTGAACAGATTTCACTGGGAGGAATGTTTTCCAGGCTGGTCTAATTTGTCTTTTCTTTCTTGACTGATATTATAAATTGCTTCATGTTCATGTCTCAAATTTAATTTTCATATTTTATTCTAATGTTTTAGCAATATTTACAGTTAGTAACAGTTTAGTAACATATATTCTATGCATTCAACAAATATTTATTGAGTGTACTGTTTTGGTGCTTCAGATAACAACAGATAAAAAATCCCTCTTACTCAGCTATTAAAAAAGATAAACTCGAGGCTTTTGTGGGTAAATGGATGCAACTAGAGACCATATTCATAAGTGAAATAAATTGCACCCAGATGTGTGAACATCATATTGTCTCCTTGGTGTAGGAACCTGAAAGACTAGGTAAAACTCAAAATGTACAATAGATGAGAGGAAAGGGAAAGAAATTGCTCAAAGGAAGGAACAACTGGGATGAGGGAAAGAAGAAAAAGAAAGAAGGAAGGCAAAATATAAATATATGTATGAATAGCTGTGATAACTGTATTGATGATGTCTGATGGTGAATTGAAATAAAGAGTTAATGCTTACAACTCTTTGTGTTCTGATCGATTTTGCATGCTTGTGTCTGGTGGTCTGAGCAACTGACTTGAAGGTAACAATATGCAATGAAATTACAATGGTGAACTCCTACCATCTTGTCTAGTGATACTCTGTATTATCTCTAATGTTTTAATGAAGAATTATTTTCTTATTCCCTGTAATGGTTTGAGCAATCTTTCATTCTTACATCTGGTAATCTGAGCAATATAGTTGAGGATAGCGATATGTAATGTAACAACCACTGTTGATTCGTATTATTTTGTCTTTAGACCCTGTATCACTTGGAATGTTCTTGCTCTGATTTGTTTATGTTCGTGATACTGGTATGCTGCTACTGTTCTATTTTTTTGTTTGTTTGTATCTCATTTACTACCCTCTTTAAAATAAAAAAAATATTTCAAACTTAAGAAATCGCCAAATTAATAGAAAAACTAAAAAAAAGAAATATGGTGAGCAAGTTATATTAGGCATTTGTCTATATTTTCTATTTGAAGAAACTGAAGTGCAAGGCATTTATATTTAATTGGAAAGGAAGTGGGGAGTCCGTGGATGTTCGTTTGGTCCTGTTTCATGCTGTGGCACAGGGATGGAGCCTAGGACTTGCACACACTAAGCACGGTTCCTCTGCTGAGCCCCACTCCTAGGCCCCTGGAAGTTTCTGACGAGTACAGTACTGTCCCTTAGACCACAGCACAATAACATGTAGACGGTCTTCAGAGTGTTTTCTAGCTGATTATCACAAAGTCATTCTTTTAATATGCTGTTTCCTTTTGACTGTGTCACTTATCTAGACTTGCCGAACCTCTGTTAGCGCCCCCAATTTGAAAACAAAAAAATGTACCTATTGGCTTCAAGTCTGCTACTTGCAGATGCCTAGGGCCCTGCAGGTGGCAATGCTGAGCAGCCGTGAGCTTGTCCCCAAGACCAGCAAATGTCCCCTCCTCGGAGTAGGTCCCTCACCACCCAACCTAACAGCAAATGTTCATGTTCCCGTGACCTTTCTTTTTTTTTTTTTTATTCACAGCCCCTGTCATTAATTGACATGATGTAATATTTGGTTTATTGCCTCTTTCTTTCCACTAAAATGAAAACTTGACAGCAGGGTCTTTGTTCATGTTGTTGAAGAGGGCCTGGCACACGGTGCATGCTTAATGTGCATCAGTTGAATGAATGACCACTTTACTCTCCAGCAGAGGAACACGGTGAGGTGATGTGCTGTTGCCTGGCAACCAAATTTGTAGGTACCTATCTGATAGTGTGTTACTTTAGGTATTTCCTTAGATAGTAAGGGAAGGAGCGTGATAAAAAGGCTTCCGATATCCATAATGAGATGATGCAGGCTAGTGGGGAGATGAACCTCATAGAGCAAAATAAGTGAGATCCACAGGAAAAAACTGATATGTGGGTACCAGGTTGATATCTGACCCTGGGGAGTTACATGATGAAGCAATAGGGTTCCTGGGTTTTAGTAAACAGAACTTCCTCTGTGCTGTTTGTAAAAGATGAAACAAGGTGTTCTAAATTTTGACTTATCTTTGTTTCTTTGGGGATGAGTTTGTTCATATTAGCCCTGTAAACTTAGTAAATGAGGGCTTAGTAAAGTACAGCTACAGTGGTTATCAACCAAGCGTGGTTGTAGTCTTTCTTGCAAAACATTCAGTAAATATTTAGGCTTTGGACCTATCTAGTTTCGCAGATTATGTCTTTGTTTACCAAGTGGAGGTCAGGGCTCCAGCACTCAGGGTAGTGGACTCATAGCGTCTACCTTGGAAGGAGGCAGGAATCTTTCACGGAAGAAGCAAGGTCCTCAAGATGTCGATAAAAAGCCTTTACACAGAACCTGCTCTATGTGGATTTAGCTTTAAAGGACTATAGCACAATCACACTGAGGCAATAAACCACCGGAAGCAGTCAGAATTTAAAACAAAGATCCAGATCTCATAAATATTTTGTCTTCATTCAAAACTGCGGGTTAAAGCAAATGTGGGCATTAAGTAGGATAAGGTGAACTGTTTTGTGGGTGAAATACATTTTTCATTCTTCTGTGAATCTGTCCTTGGTTGCTGTTGTTGTTCTCCGAAGACAGTTTTCATGGAAAAACCATGAGAGTTTTCTGCAGAGAGCTGTCCCTTGGCTCCACAGGCCCCCGTCTGCCACGAAGCTTAGATCTTCCTTTGCTAGGGTCTCTCCTTGTAAGTAGAACCGGTCCTTCCTTCATTTCACTTTTGACCCAGCCTGTGGCTGTTGTCCTATCCCCAGTGAGGGACTCCATCTTCCTTATGCCTTGTGGTTTTTTGTCTTTGATTTGCGTAGTAAAAGTAAAAGCACATTGTTTGTAGACTATCAGCAAAACATTTTCACTTTCCGTGATCTATTTTTATCCACAAAGCAAATACTCTGAGATGTTGCTGCCCCAATGGCATATTTTCACTATGAGACCGGACTGGTTTTCTGTCTGCCAGCAAATCATTTGCTTTCTGCCTCATTTGAGGAAATCCAGTTCTGAGGAGTCCAGCCACAGATTTAGCTTAGAATTATAAGTGGTTTACTTAAAGTACTTCATTGTCAGAATGGTGTTGTGCTTCTTCCTATACCCTAAGAGAGTTCAGCTTACCAGGTGTTACCGAATTCAAATCATCAGGGCAGCATGGAACCCTGGTCCCACCTTAAACTGGACTGAAAACACAAGCTAAGCGTAATAAAGTTAAAACCTGTGTTCATGTAATCACACACACATTTATACATGTACACATGTTCTAAATCAATTAACTGTTGAAAAACCATTCAATCAGTGAATAACTTCGATTCTCAGGACACCTGGTCTCTGTTTCATTTTATATGAAGAAGTGCTTTGTACTTGGCAGATGTGGGTTGGGACCTGATGGGATTAAATCTAGCACTGTGACTTTGCTTATATCGCAAAATCTCTCCTTGTCTCTCTTTCCTCACTTCTAAGATCATATTTGCCTCCTAGGTTTGTTACAGGATTAAATGGGAGGATACACAAAATAAAAGCAACTAAAGTGCAGTGCAACATCCAAAATAAAGACAGTTTTCAGAATTGGGAACTCTTTCTACCACTGCTTCAGGACTAGATCATTTGTCACCATGTCAGAGAATTGTCTTCATGGGTGAGCCAATGAAATTCAAGTTCAGCAAATAATTTTGGATCAAAGACTAAAATAGGAGGCCCATAGAGGGAATTACCAGCTTACAGGAAGACCATTAGTAATGGGTTCTCCATTCAGGACACAATTGAATGATAGAGAATTTTTATGAGTCCAGTAAACAAGTCTTCCGATCTCTGACTCAAATTAAATTATTTTGGCTTACATAGTACATATGCTATTTTCTCAGAAAATCGCCCTAGAAGTGCAGGAAATCTGATTTAATAAATATTATTCTTTCCTGGAACTCATTAATCATTTATCATTTATCAGAGAAAATGTTGATCAAACATAGAGTAGAACAACTGGTTAAAATTTAATAACCCTAAGTGTACTAGACAGTGTAGCCATGTAGGTCACTAAACCACTGCCGACCATTTTTTTTCTTAGATTATCTTGTCTAGTAAGATTATGATTTAGAATTTGAGGTTGTGGTACAAATTAAATCTCTTTAGGAAATATTCTGAGGATCTATCTCAGATTCCAACGCAAGTGAGTAAAAAGGCAAGAAGAGAAGTGCTCAGATTCTAAAATGGGATAAGATAGAATTTTTAATATCCTCAATTACCAACCCTGTGCTTATTATAAACATCAGTATATCTAATTAAACTTTATGAAGATCAAAACGCAAATTGTGGTGCATGACTTATTACCTTAAATTCAACAAGTCAGTATCATATGTTCATCAAGAGAAGATATGCTGTGTGAGACATTTTACTTAAACACAGGCACGGGTAGGAGAGTACATATCTCACAAGATACGCCACCTAGCTCTAGTATTACTGGTCTTTCATTTGTAGAATTAATTTAGGAGGAATTTCCCAAGTTATACAATGAGTACTTTTTTGTCTCGGCAGTGGTAGGATACTTTTTGTCATTCCTTTAACAATGTGTCTTGGAAATTATTTCCTGTGAGTGCGTGAACCACTTCATTCTTTTAAAGATTGTTTTTTATTCTTTTATATGACATTCAGTCATTACTTTGAGCATTAACCTTCTCAAAGTCTCTTATTTTTGTAACTTGGAAGTTTTGAAAGGTATTAAATACCTTAAAGGATAACTTCCAGTCCAATTCAATTGAAGTAACCAAATAATTATAGACTGTTCATTATTGTTATGCGAGATACTATGGTCACAAAAGTATGTTCACATCTCATGAAATTGACACAACATGTATAGTTATAATATAAAAGCTGCTATAAATGCTACAAAAGAGGTGGGATTGACGCACAGGGGTTTTTTGGGGAGTAGGGAATTACACAAGACTTTAAAGTTGTGTAGGAGTTTGAGGGTCAGAGATCCCAGAGTGTGAATGAAGGCAAGCTAAGCAGAGAAGAAGTTACACAAAACAACAACAACCAGAGCTATGACTGTGTAGTACACAGCAAGGGGGTGTTATATGATTTGATTTGATTGGACTAGATAGAGGCTTGAGGAAGTGCCATCCAAAAAGAAAAAGCAGTGAGGGTAGCAGAGCGCATGTGTCCATGATATTTACGTTGGCTGTGATGCGAAGCAGGGAGGCGCTGGGTGATTTTGAGCTGGTGCATGTCGTGAACAGAGGCACACTGGAAGACGCTTTATTTACAGGAGGATGAACAAGTGGTTTGGAGCAAGCAGTGACTAGAGCAGAGGAAAGGAGAAAAGGATATGTTCCCAGACTTCTAATTAGCTGGTAGGATGCTGACCAGATTAGTGATAACTAGAAAACCCCACAGAAAATACAAGGAATATGGTTCCTAAGGATTCAGATCATTATAGCAACTATTGATTAGTTGCATACTATGAACATTTTTTTTCAGTGCTAAGGATCAAACCCTGGGCCTTGCACATGCTAGGCAAGTGCTCTACCACTGAGCTACAACTCCAGCCGAAACACTTATCTTTGTTTTCAATTCAACAACATAAATATGCCTTTGAAAAGACTTAGAATCAAACACTGAAATGTTAGTGTTTCTTTCAGACTAGGTATATTTCTCCTACTAAGGTAGCTCATCAACATTCACAGTAAACTTGATGTCAGAGGAGGAAAAGAGTGATAATAAAAGTTAAGAACGTTAATAACAGTGAGAGTACACAGTTGTAAATTATCCCTAGGTGATGACAGATACCTTTCCCTAACACGTGAAGAAGCTCTGGAGGCAGGACAAAAAAGGTGGACTTTCCCTACATCTCATGTAAACTCTTTTTCTCCAGGGGATGGTCAGATATTCTGGAGGTAGATTTTCCTAGCCCCTAGCTTCTGTGTCCAGGTTTTCCTCCTAGAACACAAGGGGGCTCTTTGCTCCTTTCCCTCCATGGCAGGCGGTGCGCTATCGGCTGGCTCTTCCTGTCAGAGGGACAGTGGAGCTGGGAAGCTAAGTAGGAAGGGAGGGGCTAGAATATGGCTGCACAGAGGGGCAGGAACACATATCCGGCCTCATCTGGAATTGGTGCATGGGGGAAGGCAAAGCTACCCGCTCCTATAGCTGCAGGTTGAACAATAGCTAATGTTACCTCCTCCCTGGGCTAGGAAAGATCTTTTGGTAATTGTGAGGGTGACAGCAGGCCCATCTAAAGGATGGCTGGGTTCGCTCTGGTAGAGGTCAGATCTGTGTTTGCTGTCTGGGTCAGGTCCGGGAAGTTGTGTCACACAGGTGGCCCTCTCCCTCAGAGCAGTGGCTAATGCTTCACTAGCCTTTGGAGATGATTCTGGATCAGGGCACAAGGGTTGGACCGAGCCAAAAAGAAGGAGGAGCTTAAAGCTGCGTGCAAAATCTGGGAATCTGACTAGGCACATGTTAGAGCCAGGATGAGGAAAAAGAGACGGGAAAGCCATCCCCACCTTCTGGTAAGGAGCCCCGTGACCGGCGCTGGCCACTCGCGGTCTCTACCAGCCCTGCAGCTTACATAAAGGGACAGGTGGAGCCCGAGAGGTCACAGAGCTGAGTACAGGGCTTGGAGCTCCGAGCTCCCAGAAACCATGAGTTGGTCCTTGCACCCACGGAGTGTAATCCTCTACTTCTCCTCTCTCTTACTGCTCTCTTCAACCTGCCTGGCAGTAAGTGTGCTGTTCCAAAAACATACGTTTTAAGTGGGAAGCTGAAAAATAAGAAAGTCTGATAAACTATTGAAATATCTATGTTTCTCTTTTAGTATGTCGCCACCAGAGACAACTGCTGCATCTTAGATGAAAGATTTGTAAGTTATTTTTATGTGATTTGCTTTCTGCCTTACCTGGAGAGGGAAACAGGATAGGAACAGTTATTTTACAAATAGCATGTGACACTTTAAAGCATATAAAAATATAGTCGTGATTTCACTTGTTTTATGACCAGGCTTGAAGTAGGGCTTTTATTGAGATGCGTAATCACTTCATTGCTCTTTTCCAGGGTAGCTTCTGCCCTACCACCTGTGGGATTGCCGATTTCCTGTCTACTTACCAAACGTCTGTAGACAAGGACCTCCAGATCTTGGAGGACCTCTTTCATCAAGCAGAAAACAAAACAACAGAGACCAAAGAACTGATCAAGGCGATCCAGATCAGCTATGACCCGAGTGAACCAGCAAAGCCAAGTGAGTGACTGAAGATGACTGTCTGAGGGAATCATCCAATAAATTATTTTGCGGTTGCTTTTGCTGCCGCATTTGCTACAGTGCTTTTCTGTCTCCTATCCCACACTGCAGATATGATAGAGACTGCTACGCAGAATTCCAAAAAGATGATGGAGGAAATCATGAAATATGAAGCACTGATTTTAACACACGACTCAAGTATTCGGTAAGTGTTTTGGTTTTAATTTGCTCTCCAAGATGGATTTAGTTTTTATTTATTATTCCTTGTTTAAGTGAAAGGAATCTTAGGGATTTAAAATTATTTTTATCATACCCAGTTGACATCATCTTATCTTTAATCCAGTGGAGGTAGGAATTTGTGTGCTGCAGACAAAATTCTCTTTATAAAAATGTCACCAGATTGGCGGTAAGAAATAAGCAAGTAAAGGAAGAAGGATATTGACTACTAAATTGCATTGAAAGTGGAGCAGAAAAAAGCATATTTGAAGAGATTGAGTTTAACAAACTGTTGCAAAACTCTGTGTAAATCGTGTGTACATAAGCTGCAGTCATGTGTCCTCCGTTTCTAAGGAAAATGTCCCTAGCTTGCCAAGTACTCGAACTCTTAAGCATGAGTCTTAGACACAGATTCAGTTTCTCTCCCAATGTTTTTCTTAAATCAAACTCACAGCAGAGTGAGAGACTGATCAGCAGTGGCTTGGCTTGTGGCTACTGATCCTCAGTAGACTCACAAGCGAGAAGCAGCGCAGGAGGGACATTTCCTCTTTTGGTGTCAAAAAGGCATTGTTACCGTTGTTGCGATTATTGTCATTATAACCAGCATTATTATAGCCATTCTTGAAGAAGACTGTAGTGCAGAAATTGTCTAAAACCAACTAGAGAAAGTGGTCCAATAGATTGTCTCCATTTCTGTATTTCAAAGAAAGATGTACGGGGGGCTGGGGATTTAGCTCAGCGGCAAAGCGCCTGCCTGGCAAGCGCAAGGTTGTGAGTTCGATTCCTGGTACCGGAAGAAAAACAAAAGCAAAAAACAAACAAACAAACAGAAAGAAAGATGTGCAGGTTTATGCATTCTAGTAGTTCTCTACCATCTCAGAATATTTGTGAGCAACTCCGTGGAAACTGCAGACACAGGCTCGTACTAAAAGTCTCACAGACCTTCTCCAAAGCAATGTAACTAGAAACACTAAGAGGAAGGAGAAAATGTCTGTTTTATTTAATGTACGATAATACCCCGTGTAAGTTACACCTCTCCCATGTAAGTTATAGACAGAAGCCCACAGAAGGATCCTCAGTAGACTCACAAGCGAGAAGGAATAAGGGTTCAGCACGCATGGACTACTGCTTCTGAATCCTCCGTTTCCTCTGAGCCAGGCATATCCCTCGTGTAGGTTCTTATCTGCCGCTCCTTATGCATAAAGTAAAAGGTAGAAGGACCACTGACAGTGACCTTTATTTATTCACAAGGACTTTGTTATTTGTGTTCAGAGTTAGAACCATATACTCTATTCTAGCTAAAAAGATTCTAAAGATTATATTCCTGTTTTAATTGATTTTGAGGAGGGGTTTCTAAAAACCTACTTAAATGCACTTCAATTTAGTGACATATTTTTAGTTTTATCGAGAAGGGAGTAATTTACCAGGAAAGGGTTCTTGAAAGAATAAGGCAGAAAATAAGAGAAAACAGAGAACTGATCTTCGAAAGGAATATCTTATCTCCTGTTATCATTCCATTTGTAGATTTTTGCAGGACATATATGATTCCAATAATCAAAAGATCATTACCCTGAAGCAGAAGGTGGCCCAGCTGGAAGCACAGTGCCAAGAGCCATGCAAAGACACAGTGAAAATCCACGACACGACTGGGAAAGGTGAGCAGCTGCGTCGGGGTGAAGTTCATCAAAAGAATGGAGTTGGGGTGCATTGGGACGGCTGGGTGGAGATAACTGGGAAAGCGCCCGGACCCTCAACCTGAGGATTCCAATGGCCCAGACGTTTCTTGAGCAGCAAACAATAGTTTGAAAACAAGGATGATACGAGAAGAAAAATACTTCTTTGGAGACGAATTATTTACAACAGGTTCAAAGCTCAGTCTTGAGGTTGGTACAGGCTTACCCAGATCTCAAACCACAGTAAGAGTTTCCCTTCTCCTTCTGCAGACTGCCAAGACATTGCCAACAAGGGGGCCAAGGAGAGCGGACTTTACTTTATCAAGCCTCTGAAGGCTAAGCAGCAGTTCTTAGTCTACTGCGAAATCGAGGGGAATGGCAATGGATGGACTGTGCTGCAGAAGGTAGCGTTCTCCTCGCCAGTGAACACCCCAAATGCTGCACTGTGCCCACCCTGTGCCAGATACCTTTCTAGGCACCTTGCAAACCTTAACCCTCACCCTAGCCCCATTGCTGTTACCCTCCCTTGCAGAGGAGGAAACAGGCCTGAGAGCTTATGGAACTTGCCCCAGGTCACACAAGTAGTAAGTAACAGAGTCAGATTTGACTCCAGTCAGTCTGGTTTCAGTCTGTGCTTTGACTCAAGATGGTGCTGGGAAGGCTGATGTAAATTCATGACAGCACAGAGTGCTTTAGTGACAAAGAAATAGAAGGGACCCGTTCTCCAGGTGGATTAAGATGGAAGCCTCCCCATTGTACTAACGTGCGGCCCCTGCCTAGAGGATGTAGCTGTGGCTCCTGCCCGTCTCCGGCACCCCCTGCAGATCTAGCCCCTCTTGCCTTCTGCCTCTTGCCACTGTTGCTGTGCCTGCCCCTCCTGCAAGGGGGCGCGCAAAAGGCAAGAGTGATTACTGCACCACAGCTCCAAGAATCAGTGTTACCTGGCCTGAGCTCCAAAGTCTGCTAGGCTCTTGTTAAAGACCTACCACTGACTTAGAATTTACCACATGCCAGGCAGTCCTTTAAGTAGTTCCTCTATTTCTCTCATGTAATCCACCCTGCAACCCTAAGAAGTTAGCATAGTTACTCCTATGTGATAGTTGAGGAAAAAGGGTGTTTCGCCTGAGGCCCTTGAGCTGGAAGTTGACAGAATCCTACCTTGCATATTTTTGACAGAACCTTGATAATATTTCCTGTATGTAAACTGATAATCTGTCCTCTCCTCTTGCTCGTGTCCTTGTGTGATTAGAGGCTTGATGGCAGTGTCAATTTCAAGAAGAACTGGATTCAGTATAAAGAAGGCTTCGGACATCTGTCTCCTACTGGCACCACCGAATTCTGGCTGGGGAATGAGAAGATTCACTTGATAAGCACACAGTCTGCAATCCCATATGTACTGAGGGTGCAACTCAAAGACTGGAATGGCAGAACCAGGTACTGTGGAGAGGAAACTTCTAACCTGTTGTGCTAGAGCTCCTCCGCACTGTTTCCTCTCCGCCTATCATCAGGGCGGTGGCAAACACAGCCTGACAAAAGCAAAGAACACATCCAGTAGTCACTTTCTGCAGGAATCAGATTAGTTCGTGGGCCATCCAAAGAGGTATATTGTTTCCATGATGGATTTGATTATTGTGGTGTAATTTATTTACCCTGGAAACATGTAGACTCATAGCTAAATACTGATCTTTTGATAGGTACCAGAATTGGGAATGAAATTGAATCTGATCTGATCCAAATAACTATTTTAAGAGGCAGGTATCGTTAGTAATCACAGTTTAGAGATTAACTTGCCCAGGGTCACGTTGCTGGTAAATCATAGAGCTGGGACTTGAATTTGGGTAGTTTTACCCTGAAATTCAGCCCCTTTATGACTCTCCTCACTGAAAAGTGAATTCAGCCTCTTCAGATTTCCTGTTCATTGATCACTCATTCTGTCACATCAGAGGTGGCCCGGAAATTCAGTCTGCTAGCTCCTTTGGTGGGCTAGAGCTCCCTCTAGGCTCAGAGATATTTGGGGACTATAAAAATAGCCGACCCTCTTCTCATGCTTATGGAAGAATGAGACATACTACATCTCCAAACACATAGGATATTTTTAAACCCAGAAAGTAGCATAGTCAGTAGACCTTCTTCTGTGAGAATAGCTCCTATTCCCAAGTACCAGGGAGTAGGAAAGAGGATAAATGTTCTCTGGGCATCTCTGTTCATTCACCAGAGCCCATTATTTCCTCTACTCTACCGAATTATGACTTCCTTCGCCATGTCTCCCAGAAGGGGGTCTCTCTCTCTCTCTCTAACTCCTACGCCGCATGTTTTGTGGACCACAGGGAGATGCCTTTGTTCCTGGGATGTCCCAGGAAACCCTCCTTCTTGTCACTATCCCAAATCCTTAGGAAAGAAAAGCCCTGTTAGGACCTCAGCTGTCAAGTGATGTGAGAGGCTAATGGAGCTGTATCTCCCCGTGGTTTGGTATATTAATGAGTGGTTACTCACCATCAGATACTTACTATAATCTCTGATGTATGCACTGCTGAACACTGGAGTGAAAGTAGAAACTCAGAAATTGGTCAGATTCATCTGTGCATTTTGATTTAACATTAGGCCCCAATAAGTAAAATATTCAAATAGATGAAGATTGTAGTTTTCACTGGGGTGCCTGGAAGGCGGGTAGCCCCATCCTAGGTGATTCTAATGAGCCCTAGACTAGTTTGTATACCCATTCTTCATGGCAGATCTGCAAAAAACGTTACTATTATACTATACTATCTGTTCTAGTCCTAAGAAGTTAAATAACATATTGCAAGCAGATCTGTCCTATAGAGGGAAGCTGTGAGACTCCTGAGGAGACCCCAGTATATGATGTCCCTATTCCTTACTTCACAGTACTGCAGACTACGCCATGTTCAAGGTGGGCCCTGAGGCTGACAAATACCGCCTGACCTATGCCTACTTCATCGGCGGAGATGCTGGCGATGCCTTTGATGGCTACGATTTTGGGGATGATCCTAGTGACAAGTTCTTCACATCCCACAACGGCATGCAGTTCAGTACCTGGGACAGTGACAATGATAAGTTTGAAGGCAACTGTGCAGAACAGGACGGATCTGGTTGGTGGATGAATAAGTGTCATGCTGGCCACCTCAATGGAATTTATTACCAAGGTACGGCATTCTTCCTCAGGTTCTGAATTAGTTTGTAGCACATATTTTATAAAAGGTAATGAATAGGGGCTGGGGATTTAGCTCAGTGGCACAGCGCCTGCCTGGCAAGTGCAAGGTAGTGAGTTCAATTCTGGTACCAGAAAAAAAAAAGTAATGAATAGATATAAAGAATGTGTAGTAATGGTAAAGACTTCAATTCTGTAGCTCTTTATTTGGAACCAGAATTGGGTAATGCCAAGCTTGTGCTTAAAATGGGCCCCTGTCTAGGACTTCCACCTGCTGCAAAATTCCCAGCGGCTTGTCACTGTGCCTGAAGTTATTACCGTCAGAGCTGGGACTTCGGGCTCACTCCACCCGCACCTCGTGTGTGATCCAGAGGGACCGACACTACTGTACTTGGGTCTGTTAGCGCATTAGCCTGGTCAGTTTCTCATGCTGTGTGTCAGACGCAACCAGCAAGCAGTGAGGGGCAGGGAGAGCTGGGCTAAGGAGCAGGGAAGTACTAACAAGGGCTGGGCTCCCGAGGCTTGAGAGGTGAAGCTGCCTTGAGGCTCGCAGACTCTTCTTTGAGGCTTGGGGAGGCCGTGGGTTCTGTAGGGCTGGAGCGGTTTGGGACACTGACTTGACCCCCTGCTAGTGGGGCCTCTGGGACGCACGTGGTATGCCCGCTCTGCTCATCTGCAGACCAGCAGCCTTCCCTCCTGCGGGCACAGTCCTAGTGACTGACCGGCTCAGAGTCCTCTCAAAGACTGCTTAAAGTAAACTTCTGGCTTCTACAGCACTTTTAACTGGGGAAATGTACCAACCATACAGTTTGAAAAAACTCTCAGGGAGGTTTCTGTGTCCATAAAACCCAGGGCTACCTCGCTGATAACCTCTAGTCCGCCGCAGTGTCAGGCTTACAGAATTACATGAGCTCTCCTGCTCAGGCACAAGAAAGCAAATCGGCCTCAGCTCTGCTTTGTAATGGAGCGGTCAACCTCCACTCCACAACCATTGTCGAAGGCTCCTCATAGTCTCTCCGACTGACCAGTACAGTTGTCTTGTGAGATGGCGTCAGACTGCCGGACCAGGAATCGTCGCTCCTGCTGCTCTAACCCATCTGGGGAAAGATGGTGCACAACAGCTGACTCCAGGAAGGCCAAGCACAGGGAGAGAGACCAAGGGAGACCTTTGGAGCTCTTGCCCTACATTCGTAGTGGTGTGAAGCATGACCTAGACGTAAGGGTTCGTTTAACAGTAATTTACTTTAATTATAAAAGGAGATCCCAGGAATCTTAGGGATATTTGCAGTTAGTGTGTGGTGCTGTAAGGTTGACATACCTGGCAATGCGCTTCATAATAGCTCCTCACACACTTTCTGAGGTACGGACACGTGGGACCAGCGTTCTGTACCTTGACCCTCTGTTTCAGGCGGCACTTATTCCAAAGCATCTACGCCTAACGGCTATGACAATGGCATTATCTGGGCCACCTGGAAATCCCGCTGGTATTCCATGAAGGAAACCACTATGAAGGTAATCCCGTTCAACAGACTGTCCATCGGAGAAGGCCAGCAGCACCACCTGGGAGGAGCCAAACAGGTCAGCCCAGTACACCACGTTGAGATAGAGTACGACTAAGTCGCGTGGCCCCGCGGAGTGGCCCCGGGAATGACCTCTTAGGGTCTGTTGACCCCCACAAGATGTCAGAAAGTTTCCAGATTTCTTCCTGTCTTTTCTTGCTGTATTTACTAATTTTACTTCTCCTGGAAGGATATTCAGCCCTAAACGGAAATTAAAACTACCTTTGCACTATGTTCCCGAATTACTGAAAGCTGAGTTATTTAACAATTGTTTATTTGAGAAGATAATACTTTAACTTATTTCTTAATGATATAAAAATAAACTCGTTGGCTTTTTTACATTGTTATGATCACTTGTCATTTTGTCATAATGTTTTTGATATAAGTTCTTTAAAATTTTACTAGATACTAATAAAATAGAAAATTTTAGAGTTTATAATAGTTTCCTATGTGTATTGTCTCTAAAGCATTCGTATTTAATTCTTTTACTACACAGAAAGAAGTATATCTTTTTAATACGTATTTTTTGTTATATATTCATAGGCTGGAGACGTTTAAAAGACGGTTTCAAAAGTGATTTGCTTTTTTAAAGGACTTTATCTGAACAGAGAAATAGAATATTTTTCCTATGGGACAATGGACTTTCAAAGCCTCACTTCATTCTAAGAATAAACCAAACTCATGTTGAAAACTCCATTAGCAGTTTTATGCCGGTGATAATTTATCTACGTGCATTTCAATAAACATTGTGTTTCCTAAGACTAGATACATGGTATCTTTCATTGGCAGTTGAAACCATCATTCTTCATCAGTTCTGTTATTACGATGGGGACGTCATCAGTGGAGCCTGAGCTCACACTTTATTCCAAACATTGCACCTGACCCCTGGGGAATAGGGGGACACAAAGGAAACAGGAGTCACAGCTTTGGCCCTCCCTGGGGTAGAAGGCGTCCAAGGTGCAGGGACCCAAAGGGCATTCTGATATGGGCAGAGAAGCACACGATGCAGTCACATAACTAAGAGGCGTGAGATACTCAGGGCAGCTGGAGGCAGACTGCTGCTGAGGACGCTCCAAGCACTGGCCATCATATGTGGCACTCTGAGGGGCCTGACATAGCAGAGAGCTTTAGGTAACAGTCTTTCCACCCTCTCACTGTTGAACTGGGAGGTGAGCAGAAGGTAGTATTATTTGCCTTTGGAACCAGAGTGATTCAGATTCTAGTAGCTTGGGTCCAAAAATTGCTAACTTTCTAAGGAGCAAGTAAGTCTAGGTAACCTGGCATCAGGTGGCCTATGTACAGTACTGACTTACTTTTATGAAGGAAAGATCTGCTTATTCCAAAGTCCTAAGCTTTGGCTACCGATTCTCATTGTCTCCGCAGGTTTTCTTCCCAGTCCTCACTGCCTATTTCTCAGGAGTCCTGATTTTAAGATATCCTATAGAGGAGATAAAGAGAAACCAGCAGAGCACCTTGTGGTGTGCTCCAAGTTCTTGTGAGGCACTGGGAAGGAGCCTGGGTTCACTGTTTCCTGCATTCACTTGCTCAAGCACCCTGAGCGCTCATTCATTCGTCCATTCAGTGCCGTCTGCCAAAGGCCGTGGCGGTAGTGACTGCCATGCTGGGTGTGGGAGCTCAGCGCACCACGCCCTCAGCACCCTCCTCTCCCCCAACCCTGCATTTTCCTCCTAGTTCTCGTGCTCCCGAGTCACTCACCCTCCAGTCTCCTCTTTCTTTCCTTCCCATATCTGATTATTGATCGAGCCTGTCAAGTACTTATCGTGTCACTTCCTTCTATATCCGTGGCCACCACTGGAGTCCAGGACATTGGCAGCGGCCTCCTGCTGTTCCTTCTCTTGGATCCTGCCTTCCCTGTTGCCACCTTGTCAGGCTGCAAACTACAGTACTTCTGAACTCAGAATTAAGCAGGATACCCTCTGTGAATCTATAAAATCTGTTCGGGGAGCAGTGCATATAATCGCTCTGTATGTTGGACAAGCCAATGTTTATTGGGGAGAAGGGACTCCAGATTTTTCTTTGAATACCTCTGTGTACTTTGACTTGTTACAATGAGCGTATTTTAATGTTGTAGTCACTTACAAAAGCCAGATAAAGATAGATTAGTCTCAAATCCCCACTTGCCTAGTTATAAATATCTAGTGGTGAACATCAAGGGGCTACTGTTTAAGAAATAAAAATCCTTCCAGACTGAAGTGGATCTTGTCTTCACAAAGTAGGAGTTAAAAGGACTGTCTTCATAAATCAATCTAATACCTACTTTTCAATGAAGAGTTTGAGTCCTCGGAGAGACAGATCATTTTTCTTTACTGCTCCAATCAGAGCTAATTCTTGCTCCACTCTTCCTTTCGCTTTTCAAGGGCAGACAAAGTCATCTTACTGCAAAATGGGGAGACTAAACACAAAGCTGAGGTGCAGGGTCTCACATTTTGATAAACCTACAAAGGAACTTGCAAGAAGTAAGGGACTAGAGTTGTAGCTCAGTGGTAGAGCACCTGCCTGGCGCCTGGCACTTGGGAAGGCCCTGGGTTCTATCTCCAGCACAACAAGAAACGAAAGCAGACCTATAATCCCAGCACTCTGGGAGCTGAAGCACAAGGATCATACTAGGAGCCCTGCTTGGGCAACTTAGAGACTTAACAAGAACCTGTCTGGAATGAGAAAGGAAAGAAAAGGGGCTAGGGATATCACTCAGTGTGCAGGCCCTAGCTCCAATCCCCAGTACCACAAAGAAAAAAAAAAGAAAGTTCTGGTGCCAAGATTTCAAGGCATTCTGCTACAGGGTAAAGCTCGTAAATCAACAGATGGGAATAAATACTTATTAGCTAAATATCAACTTTGGAAATGTTTAAAAAGTTGACTTCTAAAATGTTGTAGCTTTAACACTTGACTCTGAAATGTTGTAGCCTTTTGCAATTCCTCTTAAGCTTAACAGTTACACTTCACAGGTTATGTTTCGGGTGTGTGGTTAGGTTGAAAGCGAGCAGAAAGGAAGAACTGTGGTATAGAGGGCATGCTCGAGATCTTTGAGGATCTTCAGCTCTTTCACTCTGATGCTAACCAGTTACAAAGTAGCCAAGGGGTGTATACTAGATACTTTTGGTTTATTTGATGAGAAGGGTGAAAACCAAAGGGCACATTTAACCCTGGGGAAGGCACGTCTGCCTGATGATTTCTCATTAGTTAAATGCTGAGAATGAGTGAGTAGAAAAATGTTTAAAATAGTAACGTGAATCAAAGTATAAGAAAAAGAAGTTGATGAAAGGGACTCAAGGTGGAGAAAAGATTTTAATTTCATTTGCCTCTTTGTGTGTGTGCATGCGTGTGTGTGTGTGTGTGTGTGTGTGTGTGTGCAGAAGTTGACCTAATCATACTCAAACCCCATTCTCGTGGATCTACGCAGGGTCAGTCTCTGTCTCTGCGTCTCTGTGTCTCAGTGTCTCAGTCTCTGTCTCTCTCTGTCGCTCTCACACTGGGAGTGAAGCCCAGGGCCTTCGCACTGACCTACATCACCAGCCTTTTTTATTTTTTACTTTGAGACCAACTCTTGCTGAGTCCATAAATTACCCCGACCATGTTTGAACGTTTGAGCCTCTTGATCCTCTTGCCTCAGCTTCCCAGAGCTCTGAGATTACAAGCATTTACCACCATGCCCAGCCTAGATCAATCTCTTGATTGATTGTCATTCATTTCCATTTCCTTTCCTTCCCATCCTCCCCTTAATAAACAACCATTCTAAGAAGTTGAAGATGTATTTATTGCCTTGCATTTGTGTTCACCATGCATTTGTGCGTACGAGTGTTTTTAGATTGCAGAAGTTGCGCTGAGCTTTGTGTGTCAGTGTTGGAATGCTGCGCTTGAGTTCACTGTCCCTGGTCCGAATTCAGTGCAAAAGGGTAGGAACTAGCGTGCAGAGGCTTTGTGGTGTGACATTTGTTCTGATTGCATTTATTAAAATGTAATCTTGGGGCTGGGGATTTAGCTCAGCGGCACAGCGCCTGCCTGGTAAGCGCAAGGTCGTGAGTTCGATTCCCGGTACCGGAAAAAAAAACAACAACAATAAAAAAATGTAATCTTATGTCTTTTGATTGTAATAATAAAAATTGAGCCTAAATTTTGTATATCCTTATTTTGTATCATTTCTTGAGTAATTATTCTTATTGTAAAAGAATAGGTCTGTGAGTGAAACCTCTAAGAAAATTGGTCCTTTGCCATAAATACTTTGAGAATAACTGCTGAGGTCTCTGCTGTGCTCTTTGTTGCACCGTGCCTGGGCCTTGAACAGGCTCAAGTGCTCCACTACTGAGGTACACCCCCACTCCACTTATTTCTCTTCTTATTCAAGTTTTTATTTTTCCCTTTAATTGTAACTTATTATTTATCAATATAGTGTATCTGTGCTTCAGCTTTTGGGGTCAGTAGCTTTCCT